ATGTCTTTTATGACATGCATATCATGGTTTTCATGCTATGACCTCTCATTTGCGTTCGCCATGCGGTCATGCCATACCATACCAAATTTCGTATACATCCCACTAACAAAGCTGTCAGAACAGTACAAAATCGTAGGCGGATAGATAGATAGATAGATAGATAGATAGATAGATAGATAGATAGATAGATAGATAGATAGATAGATAGATAGATAGATAGATAGATAGATAGATAGATAGATAGATAGATAGATAGATAGATAGATAGATAGATAGATAGATAGATAGATAGATAGATAGATAGATAGATAGATAGATAGATAGATAGATAGATAGATAGATAGATAGATAGATAGATAGATAGATAGACAGATAGATAGATAGGTTTCGCCAAAGTTCTAAATATGATAATTCGAAATATGAAACACAACAGTATTTATTACACACTATGTGCCAATTAGCCCTGTGCACTACTGCTTTTGTCATGTCAAAGGCAGCACCAGTGCACACACCACGCATACTTTCATGTAAAGAATTATTTTTCTCGTGGCTTCATATGGCGTCACGGTAAATATATATGGCGTCATGTTAAAGATATAAAAACATATAAAAAAGATATATAAAAAGTTAAAAATATATAAAAAGATTTGACGTCATCTTAAAATCAATTGATGTGACAGTTTTAAGTGTGAACTCCTATCATCCATCGCAACACACGAGCAAAGCATTCACATATATTAGCTAGCGGCTGTTGAATTCTTCATAAGTCTTGCCTGATGCAAAAGCCCAGTAGCGCCATCGTCAAGGATAGGGCGTGGTGCTTCATTACAGTTCGACCAACGTACACCGTGTCAGGCAATGCCGGTTATTCTGCCGTGAAGCGACGTCTGGAATCTCAAAACGACTCACGAGCTTCATTATATTTGCTTTTCAGTACGGTTTGACATTTCGCACTCGCCTAAAATTCCTTACTCCAGTGGGAACATTACGGGTATAAAAGCGCCCGCGAACCGCATCACATTCAGCAATTGCCTCGACAGCAGCTCCAAAGTCACCATGGTAAGAAAGCTTTTCTCTCTTGTCTTCGCGAAGAAAGAAATTTAGCCTCAGTAACTGAGAAAGCTAGCGCATTCCTAAAGAGCACTCCAACCAATAATCTTCTAGAGATAAGCATAGCAGCTAACACTTTTGTTTGATGCCAGATCTTTCCTGGACACTAACCAGTAAGTTTCAGAATAATCCAGTCCTTAAAAAAGCGTTGGGACATTTCCTGGATCACAACGAAACTTATTTGGAAGAGGAAAATTTTCTTGACTCAGTTGCTCAACGCCCGAATGTGACATTAATTAGTGACTTTCGTTTGAAGCGTTTGAAAAAAAAACTTAACGTTTGCATGGAGCACCGCTCCGTACATACTCAGTGTTCAAACCCCAAGTTTCTTCGCAACAGATGTGCCCTGAATTTCAAGCTTAAGGGTAAATACTACACGAGTAGTTGTAAAGCAGCAAGACAATCATAAGTGGGACCACATCTATGAACGTGAGTCGTCGACGCATAGGCGACACAGAACGGAGACTTGACGAAGGGGAAAACGAGCGCGAATTAGAGCGTCGAGAAGCATTTGTGCACCGGAAGCCGCTTGCGCGTCGTGTGCGTAAGCTTCAGGTAGCACATCACGGTGCGTGTAATATTTCCATTATTCGTAAAAGAACCAGCGTACAACTTGTGTTACTAGATTGCAAAGACTAGGTTAGAGAGATAAACGTTGAGGAAAAAGCAGGCGAGGCTCACCGTAAGAACAATATCCTATTTGCTACCCGACATGGCGAAAGTGGTAAAAGGGGCGGGAAGGTTAGGAAAGAAAAAAGTATGGCGGGTTCAAAAAGTTCAAAGCAAACTATTAACCAATCATTACGATGATGCCTCATATGGATTCGCAGCTCACCTTTATTATTTATTTATTTATTTATACATACTGCAGCCTTATTCAGGGCTATCGCAGGAATGGGACGTTATTTAATACTAGGCAACAGAGAAAAAATGCGAACAGATAATACAAATTGTGAAGCATGTAGACTCGTAACGAAGCAAAAGTAAAAATGAAGTTAATTACGCGTCAGTAAGATATTCATCGACAGCAACTATGAAGTCGGTTAGTGGTAAGGAGCGAATGCTACCAGGCAGGGAATTCCACAGTTCTATTGCACGCGAAAAAAAACTGCATTTAAAGGTATTAGTACGAGCAAAGAAAGGTGTTACATTCAAAGCTTGGGAACTGTGGGTACAACTATCATCAGTAAATGTGATGAGGCTACCATGACCAGGGCCGGAGGAGGAGAGACCACTAACTTATCGAGACCACCTCTTTAAGTGGTCTCGATAAGTTGAGAAAAGGCACAGGCCTCAAGGCAGCCAGGCGGGGCTCGAGTGAGGGTGCCTTTTCGCATCAATGTAACGTGATGATTGATGAACCTGGCGCCGCCAACCTCCGTCGCCACTAGCTGTCACGAGCTCAGCGCCGGACTATACAGGGCCCTCAAGAATCACCAAGAGAATTTCACACACAAAACATCAAATCAACCAGTGTATGCCTTCGTCTTCCAAGGCTCGCAAGTGAACCCACTCTCTAGGGCCCGTGCGCAGAGAAAGGCCCCACCACAGAATAAAAAAAATTGCGCCATCTCCCGTTAAAAGGAACCGTGTGTAGATAGATAGATGCGAAGCAGTGGGCGTTAACGCTTAGGGCGCGTTCACATTGAGCACTCCGGTCGCCGAAAGTGCTTCGAATCCGATTCGACGGCGGCGAGATCCACCGAAAAGGCCCTCTCCACGCCGATCGCTCTCGGACCAAATTTTGCGGCGTCTTCCGCCGAATTCGTGTCCGCGGACCAATAGCAGCGCTGGTCAAAGAATTTTGAAAAAATGGTGGCCAAGCCCTACTCACTTGTTATGTCGCAATGCGCGTAACTGAATGTTGTAACCAACGGGAGTTTGACTCACTTTGTGCCTATTTCACGGTCTATTTCAAAGGGGTGTTAACGCCGCTGGGAGAGATTCCCAGAGGAAAAAGACTTGAGAGCGAGAGCAAGAAACGGTACGTGATAAGTGGAGAGAGTAATGCGCAGCTGTTGCAGAGAGGGAATGGTGTGAGCTGCGTACGTCTAGTGTGAATGCGGAAGCCGACGCCGCGGGATATTCGCAATCGCCACTGCCTATAGGTGGCGCGCCGTGCTATCCAAGATAGCTGCGGAGAGATGATCAACCTGTGAACTCGAAAAGGAAAAGATAGGACTCACAGATGTACTCCCCGTGTCACTTTTATTGGATGAACTTTTGATCGTCAAGCGAATGTATATAGTACTAAAGTGCTTTCCCGAACTATAAGAACTGCTGACTGTTCGCTACTTCATTTCTTGCCGCAGAGCGGAGGGTGGTGGTGTCAGCTGATCGTCCTTGTATCAACAATGCGTTGCGTAATCCTTGCATGCCACAAAAAACTGCGCAAACTAGATTTGACTTATGAACTGAACGGCACTTCTGGATCATTTCTGCCGGGTCTGCCTGGAAAATTCGCCACAGTAGGCCACTAGCGAGTAGCGCGCCGTCGTGGCTGCACAAAACCGAATGTTTACCGCAGCAACGGTTTGCAAACGTATTACGCCGTTATCATTACTTGTGCTGTAAGCACCATGCAGCTGCTTTTTCGAGAAACAAAGCACAAGCATTTAACTTGCAATTAAGCAGCGCTTGAGCCACAGCCATGATCAGACTCTAATTGTCCCCTCACTCGGAGGTTGCAGGTTCTATTAGCGCGATCGGAACAACAATACCGACACGCGTACGCTTTTCGCAACATCAAAATTGCGAAAACTTGCCGAACGACAACGTCGTTGGGATGGCACCAGTGAGGTACAGGAGAAGTTAGCGTGCACTGTAGTCGCAACTGCATATTTCATTGCTCTAATCATTTCGCTTTGTAATATCCAACATAATTACGATAAAACAAGAAGTATGCTTTCATTTCGAGCTCGTCAATGGGCTGCGCACATTTGTTCTAGTGGTCTATATATAGTCACCTCGCTTTGACTTGCGATCGCATATCAGATATTTTTGTTCAAAACATGGCAGATAAGAAGCCAGTATGGGTTTCTTTGTGGTAATTGCTGCTATACGTGATCACGTTATGCTCCCGCGAAGACAAACACGCAAGCATGCCGTCAACACCGCGCCTCGTTCGCTATCATATCAGAAAACATTTTAGGGCAGTCTCTCTCCACACTAATTTGTCCTTCTTCGCTGTACGATTTTGCCGACGACGGTGCATTCGTTCAACGAAGGAATGGGAACCTAGAGGCTCTCCAGAAAGACACAAGCACATTCAAGCATGCGAGTGTTAAAGTCTTTTAACTAGGCCGCTTGTCCGTAGAAACTTCAACAGCAAAATCGTCGCATTCTAATTGGAAGCTCGAATGTTCGAGAACCGCAAGATTGTATGCCCGGAAAGTCTCCGGTCATGGAAGTGTACTACCGTTGTTGACACTAGTTGTCCCTGGTAGCTGTTGTGAGAACAATTGCAAAGAACGTGTCTAATCACTACCTCGCTGCCAAACAATCACAGGCAGTGCTCACTGCCATTGCGATTTCGTGAGCAAAGCTGTTTGCGAAGAAACAGTACTTTGCCCCCAAGCCACTGGTGGCAAAGTACTGTTTTTCCTATCTGGATAGTTCGTACGCAACACAAATTTGAAGTGACAACCAGATGGTGGAGGTGGGTGTACAGAAAACCAGACGCATCCAGATTGTATGATCTACATCATGCGGGGGTGAAGGAATCTTTAATGTTGCGTTGATTTTTGACAGTGTAGGGGCTTTCTGCACACCTCTTTCATGATTGTTCCTTGAAGAAATATAGGATGTCAAATAAACTAAATCTGAAGACGAGATACTTTCCAACTTACACATGCTAGAACCATCCGAGGTGGTGAGAGCCCTAATGTAAGTACGCCTAACCTTTCAGATCCGTCCGTGCATCCTCCTGGTCCTTGCATCCAGCGCATTCGCTGGATACACCGGCTACGGCCTAGGTTATGGCCTCGGCTATGGCAGCTTTGGCTCTGGCGGCCTTGGATTCGGCTACGGTCTCAGCTATGCCGGATACGCGCCAGCTGTGCACACTGTCGCCTCTTACGCTGCTGCTCCAGTTGTTGCCGCTGCTCCAGCTGTGACCAAGGTCGCCACCGTGGCTCACGCCCCAGTGGCTACCTACGCTGCTGCCCCAGTCACAACCTACGCCACTGCTCCCGCTGTGGCCAAGGTCGCTACCACCTACCATGCCCCAGCTGTCGCCGCCGTGGCTCACGCTCCAGTCACAACGTACGCTGCCACCCCGGTAGCCACCTACGCTGCTGCTCCAGTTGTTGCCGCTGCTCCAGCTGTGACCAAGGTCGCCACTGTGGCTCACGCTCCAGTGGCCACCTACGCTGCTGCCCCAGTCGCTACCTACGCCGCTGCTCCCGCCGTGACCAAGGTTGCTACAACCTACCACGCTCCAGCTGTCGCCACCGTGGCTCACGCTCCAGTTGCCACCTACACGGCTGCTCCTGCTGTCGCCACCTATGCTGCCGCTCCAGCTGTCACCACAGTAGCCCACGCTCCAGTCGCCACAGCTGTTGCCGCTCCAGTCGCCACCTACGCGACTGCTCCAGCTGTCGCTGCCTACCACGCCACCCCAGTCTACAGCTACGGAGTCGGCGCCCACGGCTACGGCGCTGGCCACTACGCCTACGGTAGTGGTCTTCTCAGCTATGGCCTGAACTATAGCTATGGTCTCGGCTCTCCCTTCCACTACGGTGCCCTCCTCCGCAAGAAGAAGTGTGAGTACATATTTAGGTATCCTCAGCAGCACATATAAGTGAGCTCTAAACATTACTGAAATTGTATTGTGTAGGTTGGGACGAAAGAGGTTTTAAACATTTTTATAACATGCTTGGTCAGGACACTCTAATAGTTTCATTTGAGGCAGTGGTTCAACTATGTTCATGGCATTGTTCTATCTACAAAATGGTATGTTTCATAACAAATATTATGAAGCAACGTCAACCGCGTCATTTTTTGTTATTCTTCTCTAGGATGCTGACTGATCGTGTTTCGTTTATTTGTCTTTCACAGAAACGGTCCACCTGTAACTTACCTGAAGAAAAGGAAGAAACGTTGTAGGCCTCCGCTAAACTATTGTGTGTTTTCGAACAATCAACGCAATAAAATAATAAAATTTATCCGGAGAAGCCCTGAAATATTGCCTACTTTTCTTTCTTACCAGTTCACCCTACGCATGGCGTAACATCAGAAAGACACTCTTTCAAAGCGGCGACTTGTTGTGGACGTCATCAGTTTGTGACGCCACGCACGCCTCGGCAAATTGGCAGTCGCCGACGGTGGGCGGAGTTTAGAGCCGAAGAAGTTTACAGCTTATTGTGGACTGAAACAATCTTTCACGGTCCAACTTTCACACGTGTACCAGCATATTCAATCCTCTACCTTCGTTTTTTGCTGAAGACCGCAAATTGTTCGGTGACCATGTCACCATCCTTTGAAGGTTCTGTGCAGCGAAATTCACTCAATGGTTGAACGTAAGTGTTTTATCTGTTTTTATGGCTTCATACGTGCAATGGCACCCACTTCCAACAGAGATGCGCATAAGGCAGCCTAGTACGCCAAGTTGATTCTACTGGTGTGTCTCCGTAACAAGAAGTGGTGTGAATGGGCTCTGTTAATGATTAGTGAACGTGGGCACCGGGTGCCTGTATGCAAGTCGACGGACGTTAATCTTTTTTCGGAAGTGATTCGTAGAGAATCTTTTATTACCTTGTCCACACTTCGAGCTTCGTTATCTTGTACAGGTGGAAAGTATTGGAGTCCTTATGGAGCACAGTAAACCAGTTCAAAATCTTACGGGGTTTTCGGCTTGTTAGTAACAAACAACGTAAACAACACGAGAATGACCGTTTGGTGAACCAGGACAACCTTAAGTTTGGTAGTTGATAATATTCCAAACACATTTATCACCAGTCATCAATTATTATCACAGACTGACGAAGAGAATCACAGAGTCTGCACGGTCGCCTTTGCTGTTTATTTCATTTCTTCTTGTTTTGTCTGTTTTACTACGCCTTCAAGAACTGAATTTTCGTGTCTTCTTTTCTGTACACATATAAAGCGCTTTGAAGCAAAAGCACCCTTTCGCTTAAGAAAAAATTCAAGAAGATATCGTAGGTTTAGGTGCATTATAGGCGTCTGCCTTAATGCTTTACCTAAAACGCTGCATGAGCGTCTTCCTCCAAACACAGCGTAGCCCTGTACGACGCCAAATGACAAGGGCACTAGTGTTACAACCACGCATTCGTATAGCTGCGCCACATTTCAGTTGTGGTAGTGATATTTCATATCAGTTTATAATAAACCGACGCAAAATACGCGCACATATATGCTAAAGTGTAAATACGCCCATAACTGTTCTAAGGTAGCCCCGAAAAATATTCAACGTCTTTTTTTTTTTCAATTACAGAGTTCCAGTGATCAGTCAGTGCCCTTTCGCCCCGCCGCTGTGATTTAGTGGCTAAGGTACTCCGCTGCTGAGCCCCAGGTCGCGGGATCAAATCCCGACTTCGGCGGCTGCATTTACGATTGAGGCGAAAAAGCTGTAGGCCAGTGTGCTCAGATTTGCGTGCACGTTATTGAACACCAGGTGGTCGAAATTACCGAAGTCCTCCTCTACGGTGTCTCTCATATTGATATGGTGGTTTTGGGACGTTAAACCCTAAATATCGATCATATATTGGCATCCCGTCGTATGAGAAACAGGTGTTTTCACCGCCTTTTAGGTAAAGCATTGATATTGGTAAAATATTGATATTTTTGAAGCTGTAATCAAGCTGCACAAAAAAACAGCAAGCGGCAAAACATTTATTCGAGCTTATAACGCGAACATACATTGCTCGATATAAAAAAAAACGTCAAGAGAAATAATTGAGCCAGAGGTCTACGATGAATCTTCGTCAATGAATGTTCAAGCCTGGCTTGACTTTTATGAATATGTGATAGGTATTCTTGGCTACACGATCGTGCTAAAGTAATGAATATGCCCCTGTACTTGGGAGGCCTCGCGAAGATGCGGCACGAGATACGAGCAACAGCAAAGACAGCACATACTTGTGCGGATTAGAGGAAGAAGTTTCTGCCAACTTTCTCTGAAATCAGGTTCCACGTGTGGATTTTATTATTTTTCTAGTTCAGTTGTCAACAACTTTTTTAATTAAGGCAATTGCATGCCACAGATTCTGCTCTCTCTGACTCATCACATGTGTGTCTGTTAATATAGGGACTTTCTAAATGCATTCAACACCACAGTCATAATGGAATACCTCAAACGCCAGAGGAGGTACTACAGAACATGAAGCTGTTGGCTTGAGAGCCACATTTTGCAGCGACAGTAGTGAGCATGCCTAAAACACTTCAAACTCCTAGATGACAACATACGCTCAAGAAGCCGGATTCGTCTGTCAAATACAACACGAGACAAAAATAAAAGCATGTGCCAATCAAAGGAACGCCTGACGATACCATTTCTCAAATACAAGAAATAATTTCGCTCACTGATCACGCCGAACTCGTGTACGTGTCTACGGAAGGTAATGAAAGGAACGTGAAAACTCTTGTTGACAGGTGAGCATCTGTAGTCATCAAGAGCCTGATTCTGGAGCTGAATGTAAGGAAAAATTGCCCAGTCATTGCAAATGGCCATGATAGAAAGAAACAAGGACATTATAAATGGTTAGGCATCCTTATTACGTGTCGATGCAAAAGAATCATGGTAAAAATTATTGGCTCTTCACGGTGTGAAATATCAGCTTCTCCTGCCCCGTCCAGTAACGCAAGCACTACGTTTGAATCTTTATTGAGATGGCAAAGTTACCATGCAAGATGGCCGTCAGCTGCCCAACTTCACAGCTGTCGGTGACCATTCCCGTAAGCCCACTACCCCAGAAGATGGCGTTCGTATGTATCCTGAATTGCTTCGCCTTATTGTTAGCCAATCCCCTCCATTGGATACGAGCCATGTGGAAAGGAAAACAAGAACGACAACAATTGATTTTCCTAGGCGGGTACCCAAAATCCACGCCAAAGTTTCTCAAGTTCCATCCAAGTGGCGAGATACCACAGGGGTGAAGCGGAGGGCCTATAACATGGCGAGAAAATAGAAGCTTTGGCTGAAGGGAGAGCTACAGAAAATGCCTAATGCTGGCGCCGTATGTCATTTTACGCCTCCTTTTGCTTCGTCTATAAACATAGCACATAATGAGGACGGAACATTTCGTCTCTGCACTGATTGCACCCAAATAAAAAAACTGACCTTTTCCTTTTTCCGATGCCACCTAGTTGACGAAATTATTAATGAAACCGGAGGCTGCAAAGTTTCCTCTCGTCTCGACGTTTTCAAAGGATTCTGGAAAGTGCCTCTGCAAGAAAACGGAGAGTTCCTGTGCGTTCATTACACCATTTGACGTGTAATAATACAACAGACTTCCATTTAGCTAGAAAATTTGCTAGCCTGGTTTCAGAAGATGATGAAAAGTTTTTTTGAAGCCACACTTGGGGAATCTTCTGTAACGTTTAATTGATGATGTTCCCGTCTACTGGTGGCTAGTAGAGGAGCGCTCTGAACACCTTGGAAAAGTTCTACAAGCACTTAGTGACGTGGACCTGAATATCAACGAGAAGAAAAGTGAATTATTCAAGTCAAAAGTTTTTTTCCTCTGAATAGTGTCAAACGGAACTACCAAGAGTGCTAAACATGAGTTCATCTAAATGATTACGACACTTATGAAGCCTCATAATATTCCCTCACTCCGAATTTTTGAGGACTAGTGGGCCACATCAGGGGTGTTATCAAAGATTTCTGGAAGCTGGCAAAGTGCTTGACGGAACTTTCAAAGAAAGAAATGCACTGTTTGGACAAAGGAATGTAAAAAGGTTTTGCCAGAAACTCGTACAACGCACTTTATCGCAACCTGTTGTTATCTTAACAGAATACAGCTTACGCTTTGAGATAAACACGGGCGCTTTAAAGTATGGTACAGGGGCTGCTCTGTACCAAAGATATGTCCTTTTAACACCATCTCAGCAGCAGCGGGTTGTAGGATGCCAATACTACGCCTTCATACTGAACTCAGCAAAATTATTTAACAAATGAGAAGGGGGCTCTTGCGGTTTTGATGGTGGTCCGCTACTTTCGATCATACAGATGGTGGAATGTTTGCAATGTACACAGAAGACCACGCACTAATGCACCTTTCTAATATGTCAGAGCCTATACAAAAATTGGCCTGATGAGTCAATCAACATGAGCAGTACGAATTTGATTTCTTCCGTCGGACAGATAGCCATCTTACAGACGTAGATGCCGTGTCTCGATTAGCAGTCGATTTCCCATACGAAACTGTAAACTTGACAAGATCACGGGAAAGCTATGAAAATGTTCAGTTCTAGGATGGCAAGTTCACTGTTACAGAAACACTTATTACAAAATCACTTTACTTATGCCTTGGCAATGCGGAATCAGTCCCTCATGCTGGGTTTTTGCGGAGCTATAACAAAATTCTCAGTCGTTGACGTGAAAAAAAACACACTAAAAATCGAAGATAATGTCTAGTCATGTCACTTGGGTCAGTTGAACAAAGCCAAATACCAGCCCTAACCCAACAAGCTCATCTTGCCAAACCACTCAGAGAAACCCCTAAAAGTTATGCACGTGGACTTTGCGAAGTCGAAAAAGAGGAGTACTGGAGTTTGCAAGGCACACTTTTTTCTGATTATGATAGGATCAGTGCACAAGAAGGGTAGCGGCGCCTCCAGGACGAGAATAGGAAACTGGCGTTATAGCTCAGCTTGACCGAGACTTTCTCATAGCTTAAAGTTGGTACATCATGCAATAAACCGGCATTTCGAGCAAGACGCTGCAGCAGTGGGCAGACAGCCGAGGAGTTACGCTAAGCCGTTGCGCTCTCTTTCTTTCGCAGGCCAATGTAATGGCTAAAAGGGTCATCCGTGGCGTCAAGAAACTTATATCAATGTGTTGAACGTTTAAAAGAGAGTAGAAATGCTGTCTAGAAACGGCCGTTCCACAACTCATCAGAGTACACACATTAGGCCCTGGCTGCAGCCACACTTTGCTGCACACGGCTAACTCCAAGATTGACAGCCGACAAAGTATTTAGAACCGATG